GACCTAATGCAGGAGTTCCAGGACGTGTTCGACGAGTGGCTTGGCAAGTATCTGGGGACCCCTATCTCATTCAACCTTGACCCCAATATTGTCCCCATCTGGCTGAAACCCAGGAGGGTACCCTTTGCCCTAAAGCCCAAGATCGACGTGGAATTGGACAAATTGATAAAGCAGGGGGTGTAAGTGCCAGTCGATCATGCCCGGTGGGAGACCCCAATTGTGACCCCCGTTAAGCCAGACGGGTCTGTGCGCATCTGCGCAGAGTATAAGTGTACGATCAACAAGGCCCTGCAGCAGAGCGCTTACCCGGTTCCGATCGGACATCATCTACTGCATTCCCTAGGGCCAGACAAGATCTTTGCTAAACTCGATCTTGCGCAGGGGTACCAGCAGTTGCCAGTAGATGGCACTACCGCAGAGGCACAAACTATAGTAACGCATAGAGGTGCCTTCAAGTGTACCAGACTCCAATTTGGAGTCAGCATAGCTCCAGGACTGTGTGGGCATGTGGGACGGGGACAGAACAGACTGTTCCAGAGCACCATGGAGCGACTGCTACAGGGGATCCCCAGGGTGGTCCCATATTTTGATGACATGCTCATCACCACAGAAGACGAACTGCAGCTAGGGGAGAGACTGAGACTGAGACAAGTCCTAGGGAAGTTCAGGAGTGCAGGACTCAGGGTCAAATGCAACAAGTCCTCCTGGATTCACGGCTGTCTTTAAAAGAGCACTTGACGGCCGTGACCGGGAGGATTTTTCATCAGGTTCGCCTGATTCACCAGTTGCGTCCCTTTCTGGATCGGGACTCCCTACACACAGTCACTCATGCCCTCGTCACCTCCCGCCTGGGCTATTGTAATGCTCTCTACATGGGGCTTCCCTTGAGGAGCACCCGGAGGCTCCAACTGGCGCAGAGTGCGGCCGCGTGGGTGGTTATGGGAGCAACATGGCACTCTCGTGTGACACCTCTCCTGCGCGAGCTGCACTGGCTCCAGGTGGTCTTCCGTGTGCGCTTCAATGTTTTGGTTACCACCTTTAGAGCGCTCCGTGGCTTAGGACCTGGTTACTTACGGGACCGCCTACTACCACAAACAGCCTCCCACTGGCCGGTACGCTCTCATAGAGAGGGGCTCCTCCGGGTGCCATCAGCCAAGCAGTGTCGACTGGCGGCCCCCAGGGGGAGGGCCTTCTCTGTGGGGGCACCCACTATCTGGAACGAGCTCCCCCCGGAGATACGGAGGATCCCGGATCTGCGCACTTTCCGCCATGCTCTTAAGACCCTCTTATTTCAGCAAGCTGGCCTGGCCTAATTTTTCTCCCCTTTCTTTTAAATTTTTAAACTGAAATTTTAATTTGTTTTTAAATTATTGGGATTTTAAATTGTCATGGGCTAAATTATTTAATTTGGTTTTAAATTGTTTCTAACTTTTGTATTTCTGTATTTTATCCTGTGCCTGTTCACTGCCCTGAATCCTTCAGGAGTAGGGCAGTATACAAATTTAATAAAACAAACAAACAAACAAACAAACAAACAAGTGCATGATCACAGTCCCTTCCTTGGAATTCTTGGGGTACCGGGTAGACAGAACCGGCATACACCCCACTGAAAGCAAGATTAGGGTGATCCGAGAGGCTCCCATCCCCAAAGATAAGGCGGAACTACAAGCGTTCCTGGGACTATTGAACTTTTACGCAATTTTTCTAAGGGACAAGGCAACAGTAGCGGAGTCCCTGCACAGACTGTTGGCCAAAAAGTCCAAATGGGTTTGGGGGAAGGCTGAAGCTACCATGTTTGCTGCTGTAAAGAAACTCCTGTCGGCCGAGAGTTTCCTAATTCAGTACAATTCTACGCTTCCCTTAGTGCTAGTCTGTGACGTGTCCCCCTTCGGCGTGGGGGCCATCCTGAGCCATAGACTACCGAATGGTCTAGAGGCACCCATTGCCTACTATTCCCGGACTCTTTCAAGCACCAAATGGAACTACAGTCAACTTGACAAAGAGGCCCTGGCAGCTGTCTCAGGAGTCAAGAAGTTCCACAAATACCTGTTCGGCAGAGACTTCAAACTCATCAGAGACCATTGCCCCCTTCTGGGTCTCATTGCAGGGGACCAACCCATCCTGGCAGCCCTATCTTCCAGGATGACACGCTGGGCCATCTTCCTGGCAGCATACACCTATCGCCTGGTACATCGACCAGGGGTAAGCATGGGCAACGCCGACGCCCTCAGCTGTTGCCCATTACCAGACAGGATAGAGGACCCCACACCCGGAGTTCCAGTCCTGCTGATTGACGTCTTGGACTTGGGGCCCATCACTTCAGCAGAGGTAGCAAGGGCCTCAACCAGAGACCATGTGATTAGGAAAGTCACGAGATGGGTCATGAGGGGGTGGCTGGAAAAGACTGAGGGCGGGGAATTCAAACACTTTGCGAACAAAAAGGGCAAGCTGACAATGCAAGGGGTTGTTTTTTGTGGGGTGATTGGGTTATTGTTCCCTTGTGCCTAAGGGAAAAAGTTTTAAAGCTATTGCATGAGGGGCACCCCGGGATTGTGAGGATGAAGGGGTTAGCTAGGAGTTACGTATGGTGGCCCCTAATGGATAAAGACATCACTGAGTGGGTGGGGAAGTGCCAACCGTGACATGAGTCTAGGCCAGACTCCCCCACAGGACCGGTCAGGGAATGGGAACTGCCCCAGGGTCCCTGGTCCAGGATCCACATAGACTTCGCTGGCCCATTCCATGGGCAGGTATTTATGGTCATCGTGGATGCTTTCTCGAAGTGGTTGGAGATCTGACTCATGAAAACCACTACCACTGACGCTGTCATTAGGGAGCTAAGGCAGTTTTCGCCACCCATGGCCTACCAGACACCTTAGTCTCAGATAATGGGCCACAGTTCATGGCCAAGCAGTTTGAGGGGTACCTAGCAGAGTTGGGGATCAGATATGTGCTCTCCGCCCCATTTCATCTGGCTAGCAATGGATTGGCGGAGAGATTTATGAGAACGGCTAAGGAAGCTATCTCACACCTAGGTCCCGGGGACTGGCAGGAGAGGATAGATAAATTCCTAACGGCCCAACACGCCACACCATGCACCGCCACAGGCAGGAGCCTGGCGGAATTTCTGATGGGGAGAAAGCTCCGAGGAGTCCTAGACAGGCTACACCCCAGTTATTCCCCTGACAACTTCAAAGGGGCAGAGAAAAGACTTAGGGAGTTTACAATAGGAATGCCAGTATTCATTAGGAATTATGGGAATGGACCCCTCTGGGAAACTGGGACAATCATGGAAGTAATCGGGCCCAAGTCGTATAGAGTAGACATGGGAGATGGGAGGATTTGGTGCTGACACATTGATCAGTTACGGAAGCATTGGGCCACTGACACAGAAGACACATTCGACGAACCGCTCCCTAGCTACCAACAGAACTCTCGACCTAACTCAAACCTGAGTCTAGCGGAGGACTTAGCTGTCAGCCCCAAGATCCAGCACCGCCCCATCATGGAAGATTGACCAGCCGCAGAAGTCGCCGCCCACAACGAATTCTCGGAGATTCCATTGGCGGAGCAGGGAGAAACAGGGAGTTCCTCCGACCTGCTCGACGCCACACCTCCAACTGAACTGCGCAGGTCAACTAGGGTGCGGACAAGCCCTGGTCACCTGAGAGACTGTATGCTAATGTTCCCAAGAGACTTCTGGGAGGGAAGGAGTTTTATGTATGTAGATTTTGGGCAGGCAGTTTGAATTAACTGACCGTCAGCTGATTGGCTGACCACCACAGCTGCAAGGTATATAAAGGGAGCTGTTTCCCCTGGTCAGTCGCTGGGCTCTCACCCTACAATAAAGAGCTGTTGTCACTCACTGCCTGGCTTGCTGCGTCCTCATTCACCCAACTGTAATAATTACAAGTAACTTGAGAATAATTTCCTAAAGTTCCTTTTGCTTCTTTTAATTCACACAATTTTGGAGTGACGGGATAGATCACTTTGCTTCAGGCTGAGGGCTACATATTTTTGGGGTAGCATTCTGGGACCTGTGTTCAAAAACATAGAAGGCCAAAGGAAAAAGTGGTTGGGGTGAGAGCAACAATGAAATTAATTTTATTACCTTAATTAAATATAATTAAGATATTCATTTCCCATACAGTTCATATATTCCCCCTTTGTCACATTCAGTCATATTTGATGACACCTTTTGCAGGGGGGGCACAGGCTGCATTGGAAATATTCTGAGGCCTCATGAAAGGTTACATATCTTGACTATTATAGAATCTCAAACCAAATCAGAACTAATCCTGAAATATTAACATGGATAGTGTCCGATTTAATTTGCACCCAGCACACAATCAAGGCACTCAATTCCTATATCCTGATTAGATCAAGCACTCAAGCCACTCAGTATAGCTAGCAAAATTATAATTCTATTAAACTCAAAATATTTAACAGACAAAATGAGAGAGAAAGCACGAACAACAGGCAAGCATTTACATCAACGGTATCTCAAAAGACATCATACTACCATTGGAAATTCCCAAAGGGTTCTTGGTTATGTCAGCCTTAACCCTTTTATGTATGTAACAGAGGAAAAGTAATACATACACTGATCCTTCCTCTATGCTACACCATATAAAAAACATATCGGACGAGGACGATATATTTCATCTCTCTGTATTTTCAAAGAAACAGTTCTTTACACTCTTTTATTCAGAGCATATTTATACCAAGAGTTCCTAACTCATATGTCTTGATCCAGAAATATTTAGTCCATACCTGAAAATTCCAGCTGCAGAATAAATATCAGAACACAGAAGTTGTGCAGTACTGCCTTTACAAGACTAACTTCACATCATAATTGTAAATTAATCATTCTGCAATATGCAATATGGAGCAATCCATATTTCACTTGATTGAAAACCAACTCAGGAAAGTAAAAATGAAATGGTTCTTCTTTGCTGTCACCAAGATTTTAAACACTTTTTAAAATGTCTTCATCTTACCTCCATTAAAACAAATAATGCTGCAAAGAAAAGGAGGGTTGCCCATTCCACTCTGTTCAGAATCATTTCAAAATCATGAATGTTGGCTAGAACAAGAAGCCACACAGCTCCCAACATAGCAATCCATCCTACATAAAAAGAGAAGAAAGTTAGTCCATTTTAACCAGCTATGTGCAAATCTACCGTACACATACCCTTTGGGTACAGGAATATTAAAAACATATTTATACTGTAGAATAGCACATAATCATGGTTAAGCTTGCAACTTATTTTCCCCCAGGATATAGCTTATGTGCTTTTAATATCTCAACTAATATAATAGATGGATTTTCTCTAATATCCTTATTTCCGTATTCTACTTTCTTTCATGCCCTATAAAGGATAATATCCAGGATTTATTTATTTTTTTTAAAAAAAGAAATCTGGTTATAAACCACATAGTTGTAACCCAACGCCTTGTTTCTTCCTGATGTGAATCCAACACCAAAAATTCAAAACAAGCCATACTTTTAAAAAATCAGGCTTGCCTATGATTGTCTTGACCCAGAAAAATTTAGTCCATGCTGATAATTCCAGCTGTGCAAAATAAATATCAGAACACAGATGTTGTGCAATAATATAGCTGCCTTTACTACAAGACTAACCTTACATAATAATTGTAAATTAATCAGCCTGCATGAGAAGAGCAATCTATATTTCACTCCCATTTTTACCATATGAATTTAGAAAAAAATGTAAAATTTAATGCTGAAATTAAGTTTTTCTAGATTTCTTTCAAAGTGGGCAAGGTATCATGTTTCCAAATGGATTCCATATTGAGCTGAATAACAGAATAACATAATATCTCTCCACAGCTATTGGCAGGATTTGTTTCTGTGGACCATACCCATTTCTGTGTTCTTCAGTTACCGTTGTTAGTTAGAAAAAGAGGAATTCTACAACCAGAATATTATACCTTGGGAATTTGTATATACTGAACTTATTCAAAGGACACATATTACGTGTTATAAAAGTGGTTCCTATGTTTTTTATTCTTGTTTGTGTTAAGGCATTGTAGATTCTTTATTTATCCATAGGGAAAATATTAATGGGATATTTCTTCAAATATGTGAATGACTACTAAAAACTGAATTTCTCAAAGAAAATATTCATACAATATACTATAAAAGAATAAAATTCAGATGCAAAGAAACAAAAGAATATAACAATAGCTGCAGTCTTTCAAGATAACCTTTAAGCCTCCTTAGTGTATTCATTCCTCTTTGAATGCAATCAAGACTGAGTTTAAAAACCCAACTAAAACTGAAATAGTTATCTGTAATATGAAATAAACATTTTAAAATGAAAATATTCAATACATGCTTATAGCAATCTATTAATATCATTGATACTTTCCACAGAGTCATAATGTATTGGCATACAACAAATATAAATAAAAATAACATGGTTACTAGCAGGGACAATTTAGATATTTTCAAAGGGAATCCACTGCAATAGGGCAGTAATGTCTAATAATTGTCATAAAAATTAAGAAATATTCCCAGAACCCAAAGAAAACTCAAAAATAGGCATTTTTTTCCAGATGTACTGGACTTCAACTTCATCATTCAACAATGACAAATAATATGCTGGCTGGAAGATTATGTGCGTTGAACTCATTTGCAAAGTAGCAAGTTGTGGAAGGTTGTCCTAGAAGGAGGTGCAGCATATATTGTAGTGACTGAAATGTTACATAGATGAGAATTTTGAGAAAATTGCTAAAGGGGATAATCCAGAAATTTGGAATAATCACCACCACCTATAGATAAATCCAACTCTTTTGGTCAATAACATCTTCTGTACCTACTGACCTAAAGTCTGGCAGTGTTTTCTCGAAGGACAAACTGCCTTGGAGACATTATTTATCTTTACCACGACAGCTAAAATAAACCCCAACTACATAAGAATATCCAATTCTTCTTGGATAAGACAGAGTTACACACAAATGCATGCACACCAGGCAGACAACCCAGCCTAAAGGATCTGTTTTATACATAGTTGGATTAAACTCTTTTTCACAGGAGGGACACAATGATAATTATAGTGATCATCAGTCCTTCATTTTTAAGTCTACCTGTGAAGACTATTGCTGCATTTTGAAGGAACAGAATCAGAGTCAGTGTCTGTAAAAGGAAAAGTTTTCCAAAAGTCCAGATAGATATTCCAACCTTAAGTGAAGAATCAGTCTACCTGCTGAGGAATCTTTAAAAAGGTGATCAAACAGCTCACAGAGATCTTGCCTTAATGAATTCACCAATTAATGTTAACTGTTTATTCAGTTTCTAAGACTTTGTAATCTAACTCCATTTTCTGGCATGTTTAATAAGAAAATATGAATTTAGCTTCTTTTGTCGCACAAGCCCTCCCCTCTTCTCATTTTATACTTGAATCAAAGTCACACGTAAGTTCCAAAAGGACAAGTAAAACATCATATTGCTGAGTTTGGAGTTCTCCTTTTCATAGATGCCACTGCCAGAATCAATTCTGCAGGATATTAAACAAGGATACACTGCTAATAAAATACTTGGTACTGAGCAACTTTATTTAAAAAGCTTTTTTAAAAAAAAAATAATGCCATAAATTATCTGTTGGACTCTGTGTGTAGTTTCCATGGCATTGCCCTTTTAAATGTAAATGTCTTTTCTGGAATGAAGTTTGAAAATGATTTCAGGAATAGATCAAAAATAAAAAGAGTATGTAAGTCAACTTTCCCTGTTCAAAATATTGGGGAAGGGAGTTGAAATAAACCCTTCAAAGTTATGATAGTTGTATACATGAAATCTTCATCAAATATTCTGTAGAAGCTTGTACTGATTCTGCCTTTAATCCTTATTAAAAGGAGACAGGGCTTTTTGTCAAAGCAAAACATTGCTGAGGTTCATTCAGTATCACAACATTATTCAGTACACAACATTATACAAAAAGTGATACACTTTTTTAATATTCTGTGGGCTGTGGCTCTATATATCCAGGCTTATTCTTGGATTTAACAATCAAGTGATCTAGAAGAAATGGATGTGTAGGGTTTAACTCAAAGGTGGGTTTCAGCAGGTTCTGACCAGTTCTGGAGCGGAAATTTTGAGTAGTTCGGAGAACCGGTAGTAAAAATTCTGACTGGCCCCGCCCCTATCTATTCTCTGCCTCGTGAGTCCCAGCTGATTGGGAAGAAATGGGGATTTTGCAGTAACCCTCCCCTGGAATGGGGAGGGAATGAAGATTTTACAGTATCCTTCCCCTGCCACGTCCAGTAAGCCACACCCACAGAACCAGTAGTAAAAAATTTTGAAACCCATCACTGGTTTAACTGTAAAATGCAGGTAGTCCTCAAGTTATGACTATAATTGAGCCCAACATTTCTGCTGTTAAGTGAGGCATTTGTTTAAATGAGTTTTGCCTCATTTTATGACCTTTCTTGCTACCGTTAGGTGAATCACTGTAGTTGTTTAATTAATAACACAGTTAAATGAAACTGGCTTCCCCATTGACTTTGCTTGTCAGAGGTCACAAAAGGGGATCACATGACCCTGGGACACTGCAATCGTCATAAATATGAAACAGCTGCCAAGCAACTGAATTTGGATCACATGACCGTAGGGATGCTGCAAAGTGTGAAAAATGGTCGTAAGTCACTTTTTTCAGTGCTGTTGTAACTTTGAACAGTCACTAAATGAACTATTGTAACTGAATGATCGGTGTGATTTTAAAAAATCGTATTTAGTAAAGGAAAATGGATCAGTTTTTACATGAGGTGTAGAACAAAATGCAATAATACTTAACTTCGTTTTCCTGTGACTGCCAATTTTGCTACATTGTCCTTACAGTAATTAGGACCTTCACTGTAAAATATAATTGTTTCTGCTTGCAGGCACAGTTAAAAGAAACATTATGGTGTCAACAGGTTGTAAGGTTATACTGCTACACAACAGACTATGTTTACCCATGAGATCATTGAAAAGTGCAACACAAGGTTTTCCTGTGCAGACTTTGCACTCTGAAATCTAAAATATTATTTTTCCCTATGGGGAGAAAGAACTAAAGTAGCTTTAGAAAGGCAAAATATGGGGGGTGGGGGGGAACATTCTCATACTAAGCTCAGGGCGGAATTCAAATCTCAGCAGTCTAATTCAAGCAAGATTTTCAAGAAGAATAACAAATTTCAAATAACATATAGATTTGCTTCCCAATTAAATATTTATCCCTTTCCAACTCCCACCCATATCTCTTTGAATCTCCTGAACTGAAATCATCCCAGACTCCAAATTTTCTTTTGCCTATTTATCCAGAAACAAAGGAAAGCTTTACTAATGAAAAATAAAAAACAAGGACAGTAAGAGTTAACATCTGAAGCAACTAATTGCCCAGATCTTTACCTGTTTGTTTATCATTATTATGTATAATAGGATTTAATCATATTAAATAAGGATGCACAGAATCTCTGCTGCACATCTGTCTTGTTGGGGAATAAACAGCTTACTCAGAAACTAACATCCTGATCAAAATTACGTGCCAAATAATACCACCTGCTGAGAAAACCAGTATGGTTAAGGTGCTGGACTAAGAGCAGAAGGACCCAAATTCGAGTTATCTTTTGGGCATGTAAGCCAGCTGGGTGACTTTCTCTCAGTCCTAGCCTGGGAAATTGCAAATCAAGCACTTGGATATCACTTCTGCAATATTGCCAAGGAAACCATGTGGACCTGTCCATGAAGTCACCAGAAGTTAAGACTAATTCCCAAAAAATCAAAACAAACAACCATTGAGCATAATGGTACTGACATCATAGTAAAGGAATGGAAATCTATTGCAAAGAAAAATTGGAAATTAACTTAAGCTGAGCTTGACTTGGTTCATTATCTGATCTAATGCTAGCATAGTTGCCATGAATTTAAAAAGGTTCAGAATAAATATAATTAGCTTCTTCTTAAAATATTTTGAATAGACATATTCTTGGGGTTTCAGATTAATAACTTCCATTTGTTTGTATGGGCAAGGAGGATAAAGGACAGAAGCCTGACAATTTCTTCATGCAACTCATGCAACTCATAAGTTTATTGGACATCATGATATAATCACATAATTTTTGCTAGGATGTCATGGCAGAGAAGTAGCCTTTCTGATATCAGTGTGGTTGATAACAAAAGGCCAATTATTGAAGAAGTTTGGCAACAATTCTGTACTTTTTTCTTGCTAAGGCATATTGCTCTTTGCAAACCAATCGTATTCTGTCTGTAATGAATAAGGAAAAAATGGCAGGCAGAGGCATAGCTCTGCATGTATTGACGTACAGCAAAAATATTTAGCTGTACATCAATATATTTTTATATATATATCCCAATTTTACCTTACAAATAATGCAGAGAAGGTAACAAGATAAAATATAGACCCTAACAATGAAGTCATTTTAATAAGGGCAAGCTAATACAGCTCTCACTATTCCTCATTTTGAAATTTCAGAAGTAATTTCTAGTTGAGCACATGAGACACCCAAGAGTAATGTAAACATTTTATCATTGCTAGACAGGGCTTCAGGAAAAGGTCACACATGGCTACTTTGCAATCAGTCTATTATGTTCATTCATTTAACTGTGGGAAATTACTGCAAAATCTAACTAACCTGCATGGCTGTCCAAGCAGCAACAAAACTGAAAAATAAAAAGCACTTACATGTGCAAATCCTGCCATTTGTAGTTGTTTGCTTATTAAGATACAATATCCCCTGTGCTCTGCATAATACATTCAGTTTAAGGCAGGGAGTATGCCAAAGGGGCTCTTTTGTTGCTCTTTCCAATTAGAGTGCTTAATTTCTCCAGCTTTTTTTAAAGTTCTTAGGTAAATAAATCAATAAATACGCCAACCTCTTTCTGAAGAAATAACAATAAAGCCAGAATCTACTAATCTGAATAATTCAACCTAATGTTACTGAATGTCCTGGCAATAATATACTTTTATAAAGAAATTAAATGGTAGACTGAATAAAGTAAGATATTTTAAAGTTTTCAGGGGATAAACTTAAAGCATAGACTACAAGAGTTGATTTCTTCAGCTGATTTCATAGTTTCTTTAGCATAACACTTTTTCATTGAAAATATGCATTTTGTACAGAGCATAAACATTCATGGGAGACATGATGAAACATACATCCTAGTCTTATGACACAAACCAATGTCATCTTTAAAATTTCAACATAAATGACAGTGTTTATTTTATTATACCATAGCACATATTTCATCCTTCTTTCCTTGCTGAGATTTATACCAGATGCCTATGATGTAGACTTTTTCCTAACACGTTTTTTTTAAATTGACAAAGGGCTTAGCAAAATTTGAAGACCTGCAGTTTTCAAAAGTGATTAAGTTTTGATCCATGTATTGATTTGAAAATACGCAATTAGATAAGATGGTTCTCAAATCTAAAATAAATTCTTTTTTTTCTCCCATTCCTGTGCTAAAGTTCTATTTCATCTTTAAAATATGCATCAGGAAAAGACAATGAATATTTTCATCACACTGCCCTCTCTGCTGTCACTATCAATAGAAAAAGAATATTTTGGCTCCACATGCATAAAGAAACTCATTTCCAACATGCAAACATTGTGTTTCAGCCTCACAGATATAATTCCCCCAATTTCTCCTAAATATCCTTTACATTTACAAGTTTGTGAGAAGTCCCTGTTCTTCTCAAAAAAAGTTCTAGCTAACATAGTTCTCTGGGGGAAGTTAATGACTTTTAAATCAAATTAAAACTAGGATGTTGATAAGAGAAGTCAGATGGTAACCAGCTGCAGAGATGTAGCCCTTAATGTTAAAAGAACTGCAAGCTTTGTAGAATTTTAAAGTATATTTAGTTTAAAACCTAAGACATAGTGATAATCTAGTACCTTTCCAAAGATAGAAGTAATTCTCTTCCAAAGACTGAATTTACTGATAGACATGCGAATATCTTAGCATAAATTTATTGAAAATTAGTTAAGTAAAGTATTTCAATCTTGCTTTTCTGATAAAAAGTATTCAAAGCTGCTAACAAAAATAATTAAAAATAAAACAACTTAAAACCTCTCCCAGATTCAAATGTATAGTATACCTCTATACTTAAAATATTGTTGCTAGCTCTGATAAACCATGCTTTAGAATTGAAACATTTAACATATCCTATTGATATTCAAATAGTTGCATTTCATTAAAAAACAAAGGGAGTACTATTTCTGTAGCACTAAATATGGCAGGTGCTACTAAATGTATATTTCAAGGCTGGGCAAACCATATAAAAAGAAGCACACTTTCATATTCCTAGGTCCTGAGCTTGGATTCCCCTCTGTAATTTTCGGCTTCTAAAAGCAGTCTCTAACTACAACCGAAATTGCAGTAAAGCAAAAACTCATTTTCACTAATTGTGGGGAGGATGTCCACTATTCATAGAATCTGGCTTTGAGTAGGTGACTATGCATTGCAATCTGCATTATTTGCCTAATGACATCATTGTGCAAATGATGCAAATCACCCAATTTCTGTCAATTTGTATTATTTGTATATTGGAATTTGCATCCCTTGTTTAATTATGTAATTAAGCAAATCAAGTTAATCGATGACGAAAACTGGTACATTCCATGCAACACTCATTATATCCAGATCTACTAACTTGAGATTTCACTGCATAGAGAAAGGCCTCTAAGCCTTTTAGCTATAATTAGGATGGACAGTAAGGTTTCTACTGAGCCCCCTTTCTTAATCGGGGTTCTACTTCTGCAGCTAACACCAGTTTGGAAGATAACTGGGACACTGCTTGAAATGCAGAGAAATGGTTAGGCTCTCTTTTACATGCATTCACAGAAAATTAAACGTATACATGAAAAAATTTATTCCCAAGTGTCCTCTGTAATCCTAGTATGTAGAGTATATGTGCTAAAGTATTATATAAAATGTCTTCAACCCAATCTATGGTACATTTCTTTAAAAGATCATTGAACAAAATCTACCTCTATCCATACAAATCCAGACAAGAACTTTAGAAAAAGAATCTTATTTTCCATTTTAAAAAATGGTATAGTAGTTGTGGTACTAGTAGCACAATATATAAACTATATTTCAATTATAGTTTATATGATTAATTGTCAAGAACCCAGCAACAGGAAAAACCAGAGAGAAGATAGATAAATCTTTTATAGTGCAATATAAGAAATGTACCATCAAGCCTTCAACAAATGAGATAGAATTACATAGTCTTGAAGTATATAGGAATTATGCTTAAGAATATATATATATACACAAGCACGCACGCACACGTACACACACACACACACAAACATGCATGGAGTACTGCATAAGTGCAGTACTGCACTTAAATAGCAATAGCACTTACTTATATACCACTTCACAGTACTTTACAGCCACTCTAAGCTGTTAACAGAATCAGCATATTGCCCCCAAGAATCTGAGTTCTCATTTTAATGACCTCGAAAGGATGGAAGGCTGAGTCAACCCTGAGCTGGTGAGAATTGAACTGCCAAACTGCTGGCAGCCGGCAGTCAAAAGAAGTAGCCTGCAGTACTGCGTTCTAATCACTGCACCACTACAGCTCTTGTAGTGTCAGGCACAAAAAATCAGGACCATTTGTGAGGTTGCAGCATAGAAGATTCATTTAAAGCCATACATAAGAATCTGGTCAACAAAACTTCAACACTAAATTGGCCAATGATAAGGGTCAATGGAATTCAGGAGAGGTAAGACTTGGAGCGCTTATGGGAACACGACGACTCTAAACGAATGATGCACCTAACTCTGCCCCCAACTCTGCCTGCTCGTCTCCTACAAAAGTAGAATATATTTAAATACCAATAGATAATCCAAATGGAACTTACCAAGATCTAAATGAATTCCTGGAACAAATGAATTGAGAAAGTACATGAGAATAACAATTCCTAAAACCATCAGGCATTTGATGAGAAGCAACTTGTCTGTTATTCTGTGCTGTTCAAAAGAGAAAATAGATGAATCAAGTGAAAATAGTCTTCAAATATACTAGCATGTTTCCCAAGCCAGAACCAAATATGATTGTAATATATGTTTTCATTAAAATGGCAGGGGAAACATCTAAAGTATTAAAACAATATTTTAAATTTAGAATGAAACACATTTGGATTTTAGAGATTTGTATTACATTTCCAAATAGAACCCTATTGACAATCTTGGGAACAGCAGCAAGTCTTTCATCTCAATTGAAGAAGTTTTCATTTTCATCATACGAATAAAATTAGATCTCATGCTTTATTATAGCAGGAACAGAAACACCAGAATGAAAGTCCCTTAATAATGTTTAACTACCAGGAACCACACATTCCAGGACTAAACAGCCTCTCAACAGTTACTATGTCAAGTTATTGACAAATGGCATTAATTATGGTTACAATACAGGTAGAGCACTGTATTTTTCTTCTACTTTTACACATTTATTATTGTATATAGTATTTACTGTGATTTTCCCCCATGCACAAACATGCATTTAGAAACAAATTAAATGAATAATTTGACACAGACCTCCACTTTAGGAAAATATCTTTATTCAAGATCCATAAACCCCCCTCTGGGTAACTTTTAAGAATGAGAAAAACAGAAATTTGCAGTGGAATCTTTATTCCTAATTTTCCATTGCAGGAAAAAGCTGCAATAAATTGATACCAGCATTAAGCTAAAATGTACAGTTAGGAATGCTGTCCATCAAATCCCAGATTAGAAAGAGAGTTTACCACATATCTGTATCCAATCTCTAGGCATTCTTTTCCAGAAGTTCTGAAAAAGCTATCATGTTCTCCATATACAATACTAATGCATAAAGCAGTTTTGAGAACTTCTTTAATTCACAAGGATTGGATTCTCTCTCCATTTACATAATCAAATCAGTTATGCTATTAAAAACATTTTCAAATAAATATTAGCTAATGGAAATATAAAATGGCTCACAAACTAGGCTGAATTAAATAATGTTTTAGCACTCTGCAATGTCTTAGAGGCAGTTCAGACATAGTGCTTCAGAACATGGGGATGTGGATGGATTTTTGTACAGACAAGCAATTCTGGAAATAGATGCAGCTGCTTTAATGAGTCATAACCATGCAGCAGGCAGAGTTCCCATCTGGGAGTTTGCAATTATATATTGCACAACTCCAAGAAATTGGCATCAGTCATTAGATCTCATCACTAGATATATTATTTTATCTCTATAAACTATGGAACAATTTTTACTAACAAACCAAACATGACAATTCAAATATGGCTCATCTAACTATGACAGGTTGGCAATTCTGCATCACGAGAATTGGGACAAAAAAAATGTAAGCAAATTTTTCAAATGGCCCAATGTGGACTCAATGCAGCTCTCCACAAAGCTGCTAGTGTTACCACAGTGGATCTGCAGACATGGATCTTTAACTATTGGTTAAGTATATCCTATTTAGGACTAACCATAGTAACATCCACCTGATAATTTCTTCACAAGATAGAAAAGATCTATATAGCAGAAAATGCAGTAGTAGCACTGCATTTAGTACTACTAATAGTATATTTTCGGAAAATCTTTTAGCATTAGATTTTCATCCATCTAACTAGGCAGGAAGGCAATACATTACAGCCATGGTCAAACCTTCTAACAGATTTATTTTTAGAAGGCCAATCAGCATCATCCCAACCAGATATTTTGATCAACTAAAGTATCAAAAGTTAGAACAACCTTATTACTACCATATTTCAAAGTACTGAAAGTCTAACTGAGCAATTTTAAGGAAAGCTTAAAGGAATGCCATATGCAGTCCGGCTTTGTCCATGTAAAATGAGGGTCACTTTCTTTTATATTGTGCTTTTTATAAAAGTATATGTGCTTGATTTTCAACTTGTCTTTTAATCAAATTCCCAAGAAACTCAGTTTTCTCACTAGTTATTGTCTGCTGAATGTTTTTAATGTTTCATCGTTTTATATTGTGTTTTTATATTGTTGTTAGCCACCCAGAGTTGCTTGGCAGTGAGATGGGTAGCATATAAATATAATTAAAAATAATAAAAAGTAGAATCATCCTGAGGCAGATAGATAGCTTTGCAGAGAGAAGAGTGGGGAGTTGGCTAGCAAGTAACAGAAAGCAAATACTGCATACTCCAAAGATCTAAAGAACTTGCTGAAATTTATTCTCCTCAGTTCCTTGAGTGTTCAAGGATAATGGTTGAAAACATGAACAGACACTGCCTCATCAGTCCAATCCTAGAACTCGAAGTAATTTCAATATCAAATGTCTAATCAAGGTGGTAAACAGATCTGTCAGCAACAGTTTGAGGCTTGTTCTCCTGTCTAAATAAGTCTTCCAGCCCCAGCTGTGTGTTTATGAGCAACTTCTCAGTGTGCAATTTTTGACCTCTTGCTTCCCTCTGGAGAAGGCTTTATAGAAGAGAGGAACCAGCTCTCTTTGCCTAGGCAATGAGTTGAGTTTCAGCCAGGCAGCATAGAAGTGTTGGGGTGCTTTCTATTTGTTGTCCTCTGGCACTCACTGCCTCCCTCAACATTCTTCTCCAAAACCCCACATCTGTTCCTATTAGGCACAAAAGATCAGATCCACACATGAAGGTCCAATTAAACTGATTTATTGCTACTTATGCCTATGTACAGGAATATTCTCAACTAATGGTTATCACCTGCTTGGAATTAGATAACGGTCAACAGAATTCAAGGGAGGTTGGACTTAGTTTGCTTATGACTATGTAGGGATTCTAGACTGATACCTCTTTTAACTCTGCCCCAGGTTGCCTCATCAGAACAATATTTATATATAACAGGCACTATGTCCACAGATACTCTGCTGCTATGGTTTAGTTAAATGGAAAGTGGTATTTTTCCTCCACCACACATATCATCCCTTAAATATTACTCAGTTTTTGTATTACTCATAATTGTATTGTTTTATTGTAGTGTGTTTTGTTCATTATACCTCTCTTACTGGCTTTTGTTTTTAATGTTTTACTATTTTAGTTTTATTTTATTTTTTATTGAGATTTTAGTGAGATTGAGCATAATAAACAATTGCATAATGGTACTGGCTCTTCTGAAATGCAAAGCAACAAACCAGTTTCTATTTCAGACAAAGATCGTCTTGTGAAGTAAGACTATCTTTTATATATGACCTAAGGGAGAGTACCCATATGCGCACTTCAGGCTCAAAATAATTTTTCCCCAAATATTTTTTGTGTCCTTGGCAGATTTCAAAATAGAAGATTTTGTGCATCTGCATTGTTCTCAATATTAAGAAGAGTAAAACATTATAGATGTAGGTGAACATTTCTCAGAATTGTTTACCTTTTTTTGGAGCTCCTGGATATTTGTTTCCCAGTTTTTATCTTCTTGTGAGATTTGTCTGAAATATAATATATATAAAACCACACTAATAGAAAAAGAACTTAGATCATTATTTGTTACTGATAATTATACTTAATATTTATGTTCCATATCCACTTACCATTAAGTGACACAACTTATACTGTATCTATCTTAAACAATACATGACACTATTATATTCCAAAGAGTGGAATTTCTCCACATTTCCAAGGAATCTTAAATGCAAATGCTAGGTATGATGAACAGTGCCTATGATTTACAACAAGATCCCTCAAAAGCTTAGAAGAATTTGTGGTGTGCCCCATGGAACTTCGGATCGCTATCTACAAATATAACACATCCATGACATCGTGTCTAGTTAATTTATCCAAAAACAACAAGGTTGTATCCTCATGAAACATCAGTTACATTTTATATGTGCTTTTTGTGTCTGACATATCCAGTCAAAATCTTCACACAATACCTCAAGAAACTGACACTATCACGCTATTGTTTGTAAGTTTACTCCCCAAGTCAAATGCCAACATGCTCCAAAATAAATCTGTAATCTGTGAATACTTTTCACTCCAGTGCTTCCTCCTTAAAAACAAGATAAGTGACGAATACAGAATATAACGTACATAATACATTAAAGCATTTTATCAACAGTGGCTATAGGAAGCATCTGTGTTTTCTTCTCCTTTCAAAAAAATATGTTGCATTTCTGTGTGTGTTTCTGGTCTCGCCTCTCGTTCAGTCTGGGTATGTATGTGTGTTACTGAGAAATAGAAAAAAGTTTGCATATATTTTGCGCTGGGTCAGATAATCTGGAGGGAAGATAAAAGGTCCTAGAATTGAATGGTTGCAATTGCCTATTTTCTAGGGATGGGCCAGAAGAAAAAATAATGGAATTGTTGGGCTCATTTTTAAATGAATCTTTCTTTTGTCAGCTCCTCTAACTATACCAATTGTGGTTTGTTCTTTTTAAGTTTCAAAGAACTATCTTGCTGATGGATAGACCCAAAGAGATTCACCCCTTCACATAATTTCTTTCCAACAATCCATGAATTTAAAAAGAATGGATATTTCACTAACAGTGAATATCAATAGAATTTCTTGGGCTATTTAATGGTGTTTCTCTTTTTAATATTTGTAGTTGGGGGTAACAAAATTAAAAGATTCAGGGATGCAATTCTGAGCAATTGTTTCATTTAGAATGGTCCTGGACTACCACATAATAGAAAATTCAGATTTCCCATTAAATTTACACTCTATAGCAGCTGCAGGATTCCTATTGAGGTATATAATATAGATACGTTTTCAAAAAAAAAATCTCATTTACATTTAATGTGTTTAATTAAAAATATTTTTGAGTTCATTTTTTGTTGCTGCTTTTTTATCACGTTAAATCTCGATCGAACCAGATTTCATCCTGCACCTTGACTTCTGTTTCTCAATCCACTTTATACCATAGCTAAACATTCTCAGGTCAATTTCCTCTTTCTCTAGCTCTGATTTGGAGGTACACAGGGCTTGGTACATAACATTTATGCATCACTTCCACATATATGAAGATAATTACCTTGAAAATCTGCTGATAGATATTTTGTGAAGACTTATTTACTGTATATATAATTGCCTATTCACAGCCTGGTAAGGATGCAGAAGACAGTGGAAAAATATCCAACAATATCTGCATATTTCTTAGTTTTCCAGGAAATGGGCAAGCAACCCATTGTTTGACAAGAGAAACATTTGAAAGAAAATACAGAATATTACTCTAAATATGAGAGCTAAATGAGGCTCTAAAATAAAAGTAGTCTTAAGTATTGAGATTTCCTTAACTTTATCCAGTATTTCTCAAGCTCAGCAAGATGTGTCAATTTCAACCCCCTGGCAGGAAAATTCTAGGGAAATGAAGTCCATATATCTTAAAGTTGCTAAGTCTGAAAACCCTGAGTCCTAACCTTTCATTTATAATAAAGGTAAAGAAGATTCAGTGTAGGTCTTGTTTTCAATAAGACTAGCTCTCAAGAGCCTGATGTTACCTGTGGAAAGTTTTGAGCTTTTTCCTTAGCAAAAACTCTAGAGTTCTAACTTTTTGCATTAAGAGGCACTTCACAGCTGTTTCTTCTCTGCTTGCAGGGTTAATTCTCTGGGCTGTCAGCTTCCAAACATGGATTTCATGTTTCAGTTCTAAAAAGAAATAAAATTATTTAGCTGAGAGTGACAATATGGCACATTTCAATTTTCCTAGTCACAACGGAGGTATATATGATATCCAGTGGTGAAATCCTCTGCGGGTTGCCACCAGTTCACTGCCTGTGCATGCGCGGTGCAAGCCAAATTCACGTTGCATGCGCATGCATGCACAGTGCACATCAAACATACTGTGCATGCATGCACAGTGCACAGTGCACAGTGCACACCAAACACGCACTGCATACATGCGCATGTGCAGTGCATACCAAACACGCACCTTTTGAAGGTAAGCAGAACAGCGAGAGGGTGGAACAGCTGTGCCGCGCGATTTAGATTCACTAAAACAGGATTTCCTGCTTTCTAGCGAATATAAATCATGCGACACAGCTGATCATTGAAAATACCGGTTCAGACAAACAGTAGCATTTTTTTACTCCCAGTTCACCCGAACTGGTAGCTTTTATTACTACCGGATCGCCCGAACCGGTGTGAACTGGTAGCATTTCACCCTAAATCAGAAATTGGTCAGGCAATTATACAGGAACAATAAAAAGAGCACTAGTTGATGTAATCCTGCATCTCCAAATGGCACTGAATAATAACTGCTAAGAAATTGATGCAAAGCAACTTAAGATAATATTTTATAGATGCTAAATATTAGATCCAGGAGCAAATCAGGTGGTCTGGGGATCTCTATTGACCCAGTATTATTGCATTTCTTTTCTAGAAATCCATTAGGGGAAAAAATAATAGTGCATGAAATCATGGAAATGGAACTTGGTTCCAAAGCAATCACTAGTCATTTTATGTATTTATTAGAAAGTTTACTTTACAAATATTAAAGTTTACTGCAAAAATTACAAATGCAGTCATTCAAGTGAACCATTCTAATTATGTCTGAAACTGAAAGAGGTTTGGTGTAGATAAAACTGCACAACAGATTAGAATGTTTTTAGTATTTATGTACTATGATTGGCTTTTTGTTCATTTATATACTTAAATCTTATTCTTAGATATGTTAAATATTCATAAAATGTTATTCATAGCTATGCCAATTTTTGTAATTACTTTATGTAGAGAGCATTGAAAATGTGAAATTTATTCAACATTTAAATCCTATTCTTTCTTTTGGCAACAGATCTTTTTGATATACAAAAGATTAATGTACTGTTAAGTTGAATCTTGAACTCTTTTGGCTAAGCATTAAATATAATACACTGTCAATTTAACATCCTGCTGTTTAAACTTTTGATTTGAACCCTGAGTTCTTTTTAAGAAATTACTTGTACCACACCATTTCAAATGTTAAAACATATCTAACATATAAAGGATCAGTTCTATTTTTTGAAATTGAGTATTTCAATCAGAAGCTAAGCTAGAATATAACCTATCATGAATTGTTGTGATGGACTAGGATACTATAGGCCATTAAAAGATCCTGGGCAGAATACATTGCCACTTTTTTCTACCAATAATTTCAGATCACACATTCTGCTTTTCAGAAATCTAAGATGGGGATAATCACATGAAAAAAACCTGAGCAGCTGCTTCTATTAGAGCACTAGTGTCAAACTCACGTCATCATGGCGGTGTCATGTGACGTATCGGGACTTTTTTCCCCTTTGCTAAAATGGGGATGGGTGTGGCCAGCCCATGACGCATCCAGCCCACAGGCCGGGAGTTTGACAGACCTGGCCTACAGGATCAGCATGATCAAAAATGTTAATAATAAAGCAAAGCCCAAGTGCTATCAGTTCAACAAATGATCCACATTGATTAAATGAATGCAACAGAAATTAGATCATAGTAATGATGGTGACAGTGAGATCATGGTTTGTTACTTTTCATCTTGCCTTATCTCATTTGAGTTTCCTTTCATTTTTATAGACACAAAGCCCAGAATTAAGAGAATGTCTGAATTAGCCCCCTATTGAATTCCCATGGTTGTACTAAGGAGGGAGATGTGTCATGACCTAAATGGCCTTTTTCAATTCTATCGTTCTAATTATTTATAATGTGAAGATTCAAGCCATTTGATAATCATGGCTTAGAATGCAATGGTTCAAAATTGTGCACTAGGTTTTTTTTTTTTATCATAGTAATTATTATGGGCATAATTTCTATATGTTTTTGCAAGATAGAAAATACTTTTTACTTTTGCAATTTCACAACAACCCTAGAAGATGGTTAGGATGGGAGACAGTGACTCAGTGAAAATTATCTAGTGAAGTCTCATTAGTTAACTGAAGATCTGAACCTGGATTTCTACAGCTACAATTAGCATTACACAACTGTACATTCAGCTAACACAAATGTTCAATCAAAGAAAAGACATTTTGACAAAGAATTATAATTCAGCTGTCAGCTTTTTCACACAATCTGCCATCTAAGTGTGGGCAATGTATCAAAGTCTTACACTTTACTATTCTTCAATTTATAAAAATGTCTAAAATGGTATCAGAAATACAATATTCTTTTACTACTGAGATTTGCAGGACTCTCTTTCCATCATCCATCTGACCCTTACAGCTACTGAATTCTGACCTGAGTGGTTCATATGCCATAAAGTGTATTTTTCATCACCTGTTTACTTATTTATCTGCACAATACCAATTTTAGGTAATTTTCATCTGCAGTAAATCAAATTCAAAATCACAAATTACTGCTCTTCACTAAGATAAAAAAAAACCCTGACAATATAATTTGTTGCCAAGAAGATTGCATTCAATCTTGAAAACTATCAAAACAATTGTCATTTATTCCATATATAGACACTGCCTCTCAAAGTGTTAGGTTCCTAGGTTACATCATTTCCAAAACCAAGCTGATAACATTTTTCAAAAGGTTACTCTTTAGCAACTATCTGGAGAAAAAAGTCTTTCTGCAATTCATTCTATTGTTTTCAGACAAAGATTGTTCCTTTCAGTTAGTGTATCTATAATATGCTGTGGTATATATTTCTGCACAATTAAACAACTGCTGGGATCAAGAAGAAATCAATTGATACAATAATCTTCTAAGCCTGATATACTCACTAGTCTATTGACTGGTGTGGGGATAGTTTGAAAACAAATCATTAGAGTGTGTGTGTGTGTACTCTAAATATATATTTACCAGTGGTGGGTTGCCCCCGGTTCGCACCGGTTCTATAGAACCAGTAGTAAAACCGGCGGGAGGCTCCGTCCACTGACCCTGATGTCATCAAAATGCTTCTGCGCTTGCGCAGAAGAGCGCACACGCGCGAGCCAAGCAATCACGCACGTGTTGCCCCATTGTGAACCGGTACTAAAGGTAAGTAAAACCCACCCCTGATATTTACATATGTTTGTATCAGGAGTGGGTTCTACTTACCTTTTCTACTGGTTCGCAACGGGGCCACGCGTGTGTGATCGCTTTGCTCGCGCACACACGCTCTTCTGTGCAAACGCAGAAGCTTCTGCACATGTGCAGAAGCGTTTTGATGATGTCACGGTCAGTGGGCAGAGCCTCCCGCCAGTTTTACTACCAGTTCTATAGAACCAATGTGAACCAGGGGCAACTCACCACTGGTTTGTATGTTTGAAATTATATTGGCCATCACCCCCATATTCTCTTTGCAAGTTTTTTAATCAGATTTATAGACCTTTGGATGTAGTTGGAATATAACTCCAATATTCCTTGACAATTCCCTATAGAGGTAGAGGTTGGTTGATCAGACCTTGGGAGACAGGAGGAAGAGCCATAGCCAGGGGAAAGGTTGGATAAGAGACAGTTAGTCCTTTAGTTTAGTCTGCAGAAGGAGATGAGGAGATATAGATAGGCCTCAACTTATAACTGTTCATTTAGTGACAGTTCAAAGCTATGTCATTAAAAAAGTGAGTTATGACCATTTTTCACACTTATGACCATTGCAGCATCCCCATGGTCTTATGATCAAAATTCAGACACACAGCACCTGGTTCATACTTACGACGGTTGCTGTGTCCCAAGGTCATGTGGTCACCTTTTGCAATCTTCTGACAAGCAAAGTCAATGGGAAAGCTCATGTTACTAATTTAACAACAGCAGTGATTCACAGCAGTAGCAATAAAGATTATAAAATGGGGCAACTATCTAACAACTGTCTCACTTAGCAGCAGGAAATTTGAGCTCAATTGTGGTCATAAATCAGGAACATCCTGTATATATTTTAAGACTGGCAAGACTGAGATCAGCTTTGCGAGGTAGTCCAGACAGGAAGCACACTCATAGAATAGTAAGGCTACATTAACAAGATCTTGCAAATCTGAAAATACATTTCTCCCATATTGCTTTATAGCCCAAGAAACTAAGGAGGGACCTTTCTAAGAAGTTTGCCATGCCCACAATTCTGCTGCAGCCTAAACTGCCTCTAATCTCACTGTTCACTGACTGTGGCTCTTCCCCCTGTCTCCCAAAGTCATTTCCACATAACACTACAATAATCAAACAGTATTTGGAGTGCCAGTTATATTATACTTGAAAAAAAATAATCTTAAATTCTGTTGTGCTACTTGATCATAGTCAGGGGGAGTATTTCTGGAAAAGAAAAATGAAGAACATCAGAACTGTATGCCAGCATTATGTATTCCCAGTAGAGTCATTCAAGACATGAAGGTTCTTTTTTTTTTTAAATTTGATTTATATGCTGCCCTTCTCCAGAGACTCAGGGCGGCTTACAATGTTCAAAGCCAGTGATGGCTAACCTTTTTGCCATCGCATGCCAGGAGGGGGAGGGCGGGGGAGGGTCACGCGCGCACATGCCCACGCACATGTGTGCGCAACCCCCTCCCCTCTCCCCCCCCGCTCCTAGCACATGATGGCCTGGTAGGCCCATTTTTCTTTCTTACCTGGTTCCAGATCCTCTTTGTGTATCTGGGAACGGCGAAAACAGCCTTTCCCACTCACTTGGAGGCCCTACGGAGGCTGAAAAGGCCCATTTCCCAACTCCCGGTGGGACAGGAAGTGACATTTGAGTCTCGCGTGCCATAGGTTCG